TCTTTGTGTTTCAGTAGGTTGAGAGAGTATATGAACAGATACTACAATGTAATAGAGCCAGTAACTTTAAAAAAAAAATGACATGTTTATAAGTGTAAATAAAAAACAACCATGCATTTTTATAAGTGAATATGCATCATTCTTATTCAATACAAACCCTCTTATTTTTGGCACAATATTTGGGAGGCCAAAAGTTTGTTCCTTATGGGGCTACAAAGAAGAATTACTTAAAATTGGAAGTTTGTTATTGAGGTTTAATTAGATGCTCCATGCCTCTATGGTTGATGTGAGAGACTATTTTTAAATATCGTGTGGTCACTTTTAAAGTAATTTTAAATTTTTTTTGTAGAATATTTCTTCTTCTATATATAGATAGTTTATACTTGTATTTAGAGGGAGTTATCTTCATTTATTTGTAACTTTTAATAATTACTTTTTAATATTTAAATTTGACGTAATTAGATGAACGATAATTAGTTTAATGTAAATATATTGTTAAAACTTGATATATCTTTACTTTTGTCTTCACGTTCAATTTAATTCTTTCCTCTATTTTATTTCATTTGGTTTAAGACAAACTTTCATCGAATATAACCCCAACTAACACTAACACACCTCCTAGCTTCTTTGGTTGTATTCAATGGAGGACTCCCATAAAATGCCTAATGGTTTTATCACTATTTGCTTCTAGGGACGTAGTGTACTAGCTCAATAATCTTCATTCAACAAATATTTAGTAGCCCAATCGAATAGTCTAAGTCTCTGTTTCGTAAAATAGTTAGTCTATAGGTTAATTTGAACTTATTTGACGACTATTAACTGTTTGACTTGGTTTAAAAATCAATATAAGTGTTTGATTAATTAGCTTTTTGTACTCCAAAATGCTAAAATTCAAAAAGCTATTTAAAGCAACTTTTTCAATTAGCTTTTTGAGAAAAGAAATTATATCAAACAGCTAATTTATCAAACACATTTCTACAATCAACTAATGTTATCAACTATTTATACCCTCTAATTAACCCAATCAGCTAACAGCTAACAACCATTTACCAAACATGTCCAATATATTCTATACCTGCAGTTAACAACTTTTGCTTATGTAGTTATCATGTGTAATCATTATGTTATGTATATTCAATTTGTTTATAGGTACAAAAATAATTAACTGTAGATACATAATATGTTAATTGAAGATATATAATTTTAAATTTAGAGTTCACAATACCAGCAATTATACTGTGGACCTGCACCGCGGTCCAAAACGGCACGCCGTTACAGTTAACGGGGAGCGCACATGTTTGGTGCATTAATTACCAACTGAAACTACAATGTATCTAAATTGACACTGCCTCACGTATTATTTTTATATTATCAAGTGAAACTGCAATTGAAATGAAATGAAACTGTAATATGAAACTGCAGTGTATACAAAATGAAGCTGAATAACAATTTCACATATTTGAGTGTATATTACCCAGCGAAACTGTAGTTATATCAAAATGATACTGTAGTTGTGTTGAAATAAAACTGCAATGTATATAAAATGAAACTGAATAATATTTCACATATTTGAGTGTATATTGTGCAATGAAGCTGTAGTTATATCGAAATGATCATATAGTGTTGTGTTTTAATAAAATTATAGTGTATATAAAATAAAATTAAATAACATTTTCACATATTTGAGTGTATAAATATCGAATGAAACTGTAGTTATATCGAAATGAAACTGTAGTTGTGTTGAACTGAAACTACAGTGTATACAAAATGAAACTGAATAACAGAGTTACTTTTTACAGAACGGCGCGAAACGAGTGCCGTTTTTTTTCATTAAACAAAACGACGTTGTTTAAAAACTCGGTGCATAATCCATTATGCACCGCGGTGCACGATATAATTTGCCTCATAATAAAATATGAACCATGGTTCATCATATAACAAATTGGACTATGCAATCATTATTGTGTGAACCATGGTCCATACAAATTGTGTGGACCATATTTTGTCTACTGTATAATAATGTTCATTCAGTACAAAAATAATGTACATTGTATTCAGGAGATGTACATTATTTTTGTTCTGAGTATACATTATATTGTATAATGTATATTCAGTACAAAAATAATGTACATTTAGGGGGCGTTTGGTTCACGGAATCTTGGATTACCCAGGTAATAAGATTACCTTCAGGAAGGTAATGTAAGATTACCGGAATGTAAGATTACCTTATGTGTTTGGTTTAGATTGTGGAATATAATATTACCGTGTTTGGTTAAGGGTTATATTTTAGGTTATATGAATCAATTTACAATAATGTCCTCAATAATATATATATATATATATATATATATATATATATATATATATATATTATGTATGTGCGTGTATTTATTTTATTTATTTATATGTATGAATGTATATCAATGTTCAAATATTGAAAAACTAAATATATAATAATAATAATAATAATAATAATAATAATAATAATAATAATATTATTATTATTATTATTATTATTATTATTATTATTATAAGAATAAGGATTAGTTAACAAGGGCAAAGTTGGAATAATTCAAGGTAATCTAAGATTACCTAAAAAAATGGAGGTAATCACATTACCTTGAAACATTACCGCCACATAAGCTTTCAGGTAATATAACATTACCAGGTAATCTCATAATTTGAACCAAACAAGGTAATATAACATTACCAGACTCAGATTACCAAGGTAATCAAAGATGACCTGAACCAAACGCCCCCTTAGTATATTAAAAATGTACTTTTTATTATGGTCCACATAATATTGTGTGGACCATGGTCCACACAATAATTCGCCTGGACTATGTATTAGTTGGCGCATTATTTCTTATGACATTTTACTAATCCAAGTACGTATTTCGAGGTTAACAAAACCCATAAGTTCCATTCCAACAAGAATAAAAGAACAAAAAAATTCACTTTAGCCCGAAATGTCATGGGCTTAGTTTTATGATTCGTTACATACCCAATACATTTTATATTGGCAATTTATATCCTACACCACGCGTTGCAATATGCGCCCAGATGTAAAATGACGTCGTTTTAATTTTTTTTTTTTTTTTTGAAATTTCCCGCCCCAGTGAATGGCAGTAGTTTTTTCTTAAAAAAAAATCCGCTGTTCAAGAATGTACATAATGTTATACTAGAATACACATAATTGTATACATGAATGCACATAATTATATAACAAAATATACATACTTTTTTAAAAGATAATACACATAATCTAACATAATACATAATAAATATAAACTTTTAACATAATACACATCAACTATTAACATAATACACACAAATTTTCTGATTCGGATGTACATAATTGTATAAAAAGAATGTACATAATTGTATAAAAAATGTACATAACTATATAAAAAATGTACATAACTGTATGAACCAATACACATAACTGTATGAACAAATACACATAACTGTGTGAACAAATACACATAATCCCAGCAATTTCCTACCGCGCCTCCCAAAACGACGTCGTTTTGGGATGCGCGCGGTGCACAGTGCTATATGCGCCGTGGTGTAGGGTATAACGATTGATATTGGCAATTTATATCCTATTTAGAATTTGATGGTGTAGGGCCTATTTAGAATTTGATGGTTAATAAATTTAAATTTAATAGAGTTGCTGGTTAATGAATTATTGAATTTGATATTTATAGAATTAAAATTTAAGTTTTTTTTTTATTATTTTTTTATTTTTGGGTTTCATATGAGATAGGGTATTTCTAAGGGACAATTTCAATTAGCCTCGCGAATATCCATTTGAATTCATCTTGCATGGATTGATTTTTTTTTCCCTAGATGGTGGTACTATGGTAGTGGGTGGTGGGTCTTTTTTTTTTTTTTTTTTTTTTTTTTGAAAGTTACTGGCTCTATTACATTGTAGTATCCGTTCATGTGGGTGGTGGGTCTTAACTCTTAACAAATTAAATATGCAGTGGGTTGTGTTAGATTCGTGTTTTATGTATAAAATCCGCTTAAATTCCATCGGATCCACCGCCTATAAAATTAATAGTAAAATAAGTACTATAGTTAATTATAAAAGTTTTTAAAATTTTTGCTAATTTTTTACTTTTTTTTTTTATATACTCTAAACTAATATGTTTATTTACAAAATTAACAATTTAGTTATTATATTTGAATATTTCTATTAATTTACATTTTAATATAACTAGTGAATTTTATTATTTTATTATGTGTAGGTATTTCAATATTATTTAAAAAAAAATTGTTACAAAAAAATAATAAGGGGTGAGTACCCGTGGTGGGCACCAGCGTCCGGTGGGATAGGAGTAGATTTTGAAAAAGTTCACCTAATACGGGTTAGAGGTGGAAGTGGGTGGAGAAAGTATAAGGTAGCTCGGATGGTGGATGTAGTCCTCCCCAACCTACCCATGACCCATTGCCTTCTCTAGGTATCTCATTGTGAGATTGATCGAGATTTGACCTAGGTCATGGTGGGATTAATTTGACTTTGATTTTGGAAGAAAGTTTGACTTAGAACCTTTTAACATGATTTATCTAGATATCATTTAGAAGAGCGTTTTCGGTAAGTGAAAAATTTGTTACGAGTTTTGAAAATAAAATTACAAAAAAAAAAAAAAAACTCTTCTTTCTGCTCTGGCCCACCTAACGCCGCGGCCGCACTATGGTTGGCTTGGTTGCCCTTCTGCAATGTCTTTTTCTTTTGCGTTTCTTATCTTTTTATTGATTTGACGACATTGGCCTTCTCGATAAAAAAATTCATATTTTTTTGACTCATATTTAAGTTTATTCATTGTGGTTGATCTAAAAGGAAAAATAAAGCACAATGTATAGATATTGAAATTATTCAGATTAATAATTTAAGATTAAGTTGACGTTTAGTTTAAAAATAAATCAAAGGAATGAAAATTACTCAAAAACATTCCCAATATTTATTTATAGCATTTATAATAATTAAAAAACATGGAATTATCAAGGAGACAAGGATCTCCCACATATGCGGCAATGGCGTCAACAACCTGGTTTAGAACCGTCTTCTTAACGAAGCCATGGCGACCCCTTCCTCGAAACCGAGCGTTCCCCTCCGTTTCATTCTTCTCTGCCCGCAATCCCCAAATTCCGCATTTGGGTTGTGGCTGTAAACTCTTCAAGCCCAGAAACCATCGTGTGTTCCCGAGAAGGACCCAACATCTCAATTACTCCGATAACGAAACCCCATCTTCATCTCCAGATGACTCCGAAACAAATCCTCCGCAAGAAGCTGTTCTCAAGGCAATTTCAGGTTCATTTGGTTATAATTTGGAATCTCCTCGGCCCCTTGTTCAGTTTGAGATTGCAGTCTTTAATTGCTGTGAAAAGTAACTGTCCTGATTCCTGGATTTGAGCAGAGTTCATAGTATTGTTTTGGACAGAAAACATAGTAAAGACTAGAGCTTTTAAGGTGAAAACAGATTAATATGGAAAAAAAGGGACAGGTTTCATGATTGTAATCAGTTTGGGTTATTACTGTGTACATGTTCCAATTAGGAAAGAATAGTTTAAAGAAATATGTTTGATTGTTTGAGGTAGTGACTATTCAGGGGTATTGATGAATTTGAGTAAAGCTTTTTATCTGATCTCCAGCTTCTTTTTTCTATTTCTGTTGAGTTAATTCCAATGTTAATGATTCACACATGGAAAAGCTAACAGTGGATTACAATTGGAAATATTCAATACTTTAAGGACTAAATTTGGTCGCTTTAAAAGTTAAGGGTTAAGAGTGATAGTCATATGACTAAATCCCGAATTAACTCTTTTGTTTTCGTTCTTTCCATTTTTTGAAAGTTTTTGAATAGGTTTTATGAATGTAGACTGACTATTGGTGAGGTTGCAGAAGTGTCGAAGACAGAAGGAAGGGTAGGGCAAACGACGAATGTAGTTATTGGAGGGACTGTGCATGATGATTCGACTAACGAGTGGCTTGTTTTGGATAAGAAGGTAAGCTTTCTTATAGTCACACTTGTTTAATATGTTAGCATGTTTAAGGTAGATGCCTAGAGGTACGAGGATTGGTTTCTCACTGATATCAGCGAGCGATAATGTTAGGAATTTAGGAAAATGGTTGTTGTGAGCACCAGTCCCCGACTCTCGGGTCAGATATAGTTATGTATGTTTTTAACGTGCAGGTTAATTCCTATCCATCTGAAAGGGTGTTTACAGCTATTGGTACTGGAGGCGATGATTTTGTGCAGGCTATGGTAGTTGCTGTAGAATCGGTTATTCAACAATCTATCCCCGAGGTAGGAATATACTTTTTGCTTTTAAGAAAGTTTTGGTACTAGGTTACAACTAACAATGATTGTATTGCAACTTCCTTCATAGGTAGCGGTTGATGTATTTGTTATCCTTTGGAACTGAACTTCTATTTCAATGACTACTTGTGTATTTAATTTTGAGCTTATGACTTTGAATAGGTACTATGGTTTTTTCTGCTGAATTAGAAGTACTATGTACTAGGAAGATGTAACATGTTTGACCGGTGTTTTCATGAGATAAAGATGATACAAACATTACTTCTTAGCAGTGCTAGAACATAGGAACACGCATGTCTTTTCTGCAGTTTCAAGCCCAGTATGCACTTTGAAGAATCGCAAGCTTCTGTATTTTTATTTGAATGAATGAAACACGATTGTCATGACCTGCGAAAACGAGAACACAGGTGCAGGTGAAGCAGAAGGTTTCCTCGGGGGCAAGTACGTATCAGTAAATATTGGACCCATTCAAGTCGTTTGTAGTGAACAGGTTATCTCTCTTTCTCTCTTGTGCGTGATTGTGTGTGTTTGTGTGTGTGTATAGAGACAACATAGGCTAAAACAACAATGTATGCTCGAATCCTTCATAACGGAAGAAACTTAAGAATCCGTTTGAAATGGAGATCGAAGAATTTGCAGGTTTGATGATGCGATTCGGTTGTGGTTTTCAGGTTCAAGCTGTATACAACACGATGAGGCGAGATGACCGAATGAAATACTTTCTGTAACCTGTAAAGAACAGAGCTCAACTACATAGTACATCAGCCTAACATGTTGTCTACTTTCAATTGTTCTGTTCCAATGAAGTAGCTTCAGCTTTGTTTTCTAGTTGTATATATGTATGTATTATTCTCCATGAAGACATTCATATTAAAAATCTTGATGACAGCTAATATCCAATGAAATGCTAAAATTTAGGATGGTTCTTTACTTCTTTATGCCATTGTGATGCTGAATTGTATATAAGAGAGGTAAATCACACTCATGTTTTCAATGGGACATGGTTAAGCGCTTACCATTATAAAGTCATGTTTTAAGCCGTTATTATTATGCCAAAAGGTATAACTAATGGTCCCCGCACAACATGTTTTCAACGATCTTTTGTTTGAAACCTAGGTATGGATTGAATCGATGGATCAGATCGGGGAATATCATCAGACTTATGATGTTGTGGAAGTTCATAACTTACGTTGTAGCCTATATAAACATGTATGACTTTAATGTAAATCATGTTGATAAAAGTTTAATTCAACCATGATGAATCAATAATCAAGGGACAAATTGAAGCACATGTTAGGAGGAACATAACCAATGTCAAATGGTATGAGAATACACTTTCAATGTCATTTCTATTTGACTCTAACGATCCATAAAAGTATGACAACATGAGAAAGTGACAAATTTATGCATATTGTGATCACATTGAGGGCATGATTGGGTGTTTGGGATTTTGTCCAAATTAGAAGGATAATTGAGGAAACAACAAGGGTGGTGATATGAAGTAGAAGAGGAAGAACTAAGCATCATCTCATAGCAATCCTTAAATGCTCGATCAAAACCATTGATTTGTGCATTGTCCTTCCACTTCTCGTACTCATTCATGACTCCGAGCATTTTATCTCCCATATCACATGCAATTATTCCATTCCCTTTGCTTAATAAACCCCATACTCCAACTGTTGAACCTTCAGCTTCGTAAACTAACAAATTTTTGACTCCTTGCATAATTTCATCACTCCCTTCGTCAAGACCCATCTTAAATAAATATTGAATTCTAGACGAGGCCATGCTTTGAAGTCGTGTCCAAAATCGCTTAATACTATACTTTTCAATTGTAGAATCACACATCCTTCTCACCTCATCATCAAATAATGTTTTTTCACTTCTTCCAATGTATATAATTCTCCAATTCATTTGGATTTTGGAACAAATTTCCTGTATCCTTAATATAAATTCTTGAACTTGTTTATTGTTATTGCCTCCACATAAGAAAATGTACTCTTCATCAGCAACCTGTTCAAAAAAAAAAAAAAAAAAAAGGAGAGTAACAATGTTTAATACAAAGTTCATTTAAAGAATAAAAATATCAAATACAGAGTAATAATCTTTAATTTACTTAGCTTAGGCAAGAATACATGACACTGTTTGGAAACATAGTTAACTTATCAGTTTAATTATTTGACTATTATTAATTATTTGACTTGATTAAACAATCAATATAAGTATTTGTTTAATTAGGTTTTTGTAACAGCTTATTGCTTCAAAATACTAAAATTCAAAAAATCTGTTCAAAATAATTTTTTTGATCAACTTTTTGAGAAATACAAAAAATGTAATTAGTTATCAGATAACAACTATTTACCAATCACTTTTTTACAATTAGCTAATTAGTTAGAAGCTGAACATCGACTTACCCACTCATCAAGTTTGGATCCGTAAAAGATGTCATAAGATACTACAAGTTTAAAGCTCCATGATTCTTTACCATTTAGAGTTTGTTCCCTCTCACTTGTGTAATTGTAAGAACGAAACTGATGAATGAAAATATTCTATTAATATAAAATGATATCATTCTAAAAGTATAAACTTTTTAGTGATTTTTTAAAAATAAATAATAGTAGATAAGTATATATAATAAGATACTACGTATTATAAGATAGACATACCGAACTTCTCATCTTGTCCTTAATATCATTCACCCAATTGTTGATGTTCTTGCGGACCTGGCTAGCAAAGTCGTGTATTTGCTTGTCAATATCACCAATCACGCGGTCAGCACCCAAAGTCCTTTCCCTCAACTCATTTTCTAACGAAGGGAGTAAATCATGGTTCATTGTTGTCTCTTCATATAGTTGATATCTCCATGTCAGTATCATGTGCAACGCATTATAATGAACCAACCTTCCTCGTTTGTCCAGTGAAATGACAATAGGATCACCCCCGACTTGAAAAATTGGGAAACATTTATCTTCAAGAAATCTTCTGAATACTTGTGCAACCGGTTTGTGACGAATCATTACACTCCCTAAAAGATGGACATAATTATGAATAATTTGTAGGCCCATCTTCTCAACCTTTGTAATAGGAACCCAAATCATCTGTACTCCTCTAGGCGCATTATATACATAAGAGGGGAAGTGTCTGCCAGATGATATTAGTAATAACACTTCCTTCCCTCGAAACAGATCTAATCGACATGGGGAAATTTTCTTTTGAACTATTCCACGATCAAGTTTCTAATATACAAGATAAATGTTTGGAGGTTATCAGATTAATTGTAGTAATTTACACATACATGCATGATAAGAAAAGTAAGAACAAAGGCTAGCTTAACATACCTCCAGCAACCACTTGAGATGAAGAATTACTTCGTCTTCATCATTTTTTACATCAAATATTAATTTAAGAACCTCCAAAATATCCGAAGAATTATCAAAAGCATGTAGCAATGCTTGATAATTTTCTTCTGCCCTTTTTGCCTCTGCATATATACACAAAAACATAATTAATCTCGTTGCTATTCTTCCATCAGTATACTGAACTTTAGTTTTTGGTAAAGGGGGTGTTTGGTCAATAGGCTATTTTAATTTTTGGTTGGAAGTCAATTTTGGCCAAACATTCAGATGGTACCTCTGTGGGTCCCCTTGAGGAAGGTCACAGAATCGAACCTCTATGGTGGGGTATTGACTCTTTGGACAGTAGTAGTTAGAGAAAGTATATTGTCAAAATATGAAAAATTAAAAAGAGTAAAGTTGCTCATGCCTTGACTAGGGCGGCTCCTTTTCAATCTGGTCCCATTATTTGGAATTCTTCTATTTCGAGTTGTATCGAACATTTGATTTAATGCAATTATATTCTTGGTTTTCAAAAAAAAAAAAAATAGTAAAGTTTTCGATTAACTGATTGACCTTAATTGTGAAATGATCGTTTTATCGTTGTTATCCCTAGCATTTATATCTCCCTTGTTGTTGTTTATATGTCTTGCCCCTTTTTCTTTTTGTTTCGGTAACAACAATAATAATGTTTTTCTTTCTTTTTGATTTCACATATCCTTGTTGTTAATAATAATAATAATAATAATAATAATAATAATAATAATAAAAATAAATAAATAAATAAATAATAAACAAATAAATAAATAAATAAATAAAATTATAAAAGTAATTTAAGAGTCAATACTATAGCAAAATATGTTTATGCCTTTATAAGTCATTTTACATTTGCCAAGACCTTGTGGTCTAATGGCATTTGGGTTGAATTTCCACATAGGAGGTTGTGAGTTCAAGCCACAATGGAGATGTTATTAATTTTTTGTGCTTCACTAAGTTGAGAAAGTAGTTATAAACATATACTACATTATAATAGAGTTAGCATTAAAAAAAGGTCATTTTAAATTCAATTAGCTAAAAATAAACTAATTTACAACTAATACTAGAGTCAGTAGGATTAAAAAAAAAAAGTCATTTGAAATTCAATCAGCTAAAAATAAACTAATTTAGCAAATACTTTTTTTTACAACCAGCTAATCCAATCATCTGTCATTCATTTGCCAAACACCCCCAAATCTATGTAACTAAATTGTTGTGATTTTATAATTAATAATTTATACTACTTTTTTTTATTCATTTTTTTTTTTAAATTTGGATTATTTATTTGCATAATAAAGTTTTAACTTTTTAAGTCAATTTATAATAACTTTGAATACACTATAAATTGTACTTCGTATATTTTTTTGAGTGTAACATAGGCTATTCATCGTCAACCATATTGACTAACTCTTCATTAAATTATACACACTTCAAGTTTGGCATTATAAATGGTATATTATATACATTAATTATAATCACAAAAATTTTCTAACTATAGATCAAATCATCAAGTATTGGACGAACCTAGTAGTGAGTGGCTAGAAGCCATTATCTCTTTGATTTTGGTGGATAACTTGGACTGCTCAGATAGTTGAATTTGGGACCTAAAAATGAAGAAAAATATAATAGTAATTAATTAAAACAAATAAATATCAATTAACCTATTTTGGGTGCATTGAATGATTCTTAGTTAACCCAATTTACATGTGTTGTTGTGCAATGTAAATTAATATATTGAAATATTTTCTACTTTATATTATTTATTTGATTTATAGATATTTATATGAGATATTAACATACACTAATTACCTATAAAGATTAGGGCATAAATTAGATTTAACGAAGAACTCTACGTACAAACATAAATATAATTTACACAAAGTTAAATTAAATGGTCTTACTCGGGGTCCAAAATACAAAGTCTGGTATAAGCAACAACAAATCTTGCTATCCAATAGTTAGCCACAATCATAGGAGATGAATGTTTAAGCTCAACCATAAGCTTGACGAGATCTAAGGCAGACTTTATTGAGTTATCCTCTAAATATTTAGGGTTAGAGGAAGACATTTGCTTTGAAAGAGCCAAGTTGTAGGCCAATTCTCTGCGTTGGCGTGATTGTGAGACAACTTTAAATTTTCCATAGATGATCGCAAATGAAGTGAGCATCATTACTGCCTTAGTGTGCCATGGATACACTGATAGTGTAGTTAGTAGACAAATTGCTATTGAGTGACTATCAACATTATTTAAACAACTACACGCTACCTGAAAAAGAAAAGAAAATTTTAAAATTAATAATTTGAACGCATAAAACTATGTGAGAAGGGATGTTTTCAACATACCATTAAGGAGAGTTGTAATACATGAGATGAAATCTCATTCTGGATGTACTCTTTTAGAGTTAACTTGTCTTGCGTTGCTTTTAGAGGAATCTAAACTCATACTCCATTAAAACAAGTTAGTGCGATAAAAATCAGAATGAAACTATTTTTATGTAGAATTGTAATTAAGACGTACCATATATTTAAGAAATTTATCTTTAGAAGCTATGATTATTTAATTTAACATGAAATTACATGTTACTTCTATAATATATAATGCTAAGCAGTTGTGTCATGCAATGCTTTTGAGTGATTGTATGACAAATTTCATTCATTATAGGTGCATGCAGTGGTATCAAAATTATTTTTGTCCAATAATTTTAAAAATACTTCAAGAAACAATTATAAATAGTGAGTATATTGACAAACCGTATCGGAATTGAAGATGTCATCAACAAAATCGAGAATAGAACTTGCATCGACATCCATTTCACCTCTGGGATTATGTGTAGCCTTAACGTGTTCCATGATAATCGCCTCCTCAGTATCAATGACATGGTTTTGTGAAACCATTGTTGTTGATACAGATAGAACTTGGTTTGTCATGTGTAATAGATATGAAGAAGAGAATTAATCTTGAATTTTTGTTTTCATCAAGGATTGCGTTCATTTAGGTCTTATATATATAGTATATGAATTGATGATCTCTTGTAGAAGAGCTAACTTCAATACCTAGCTTCTAGATAAGGTAATCATCGGAAGAATCAAAATGAAAAACGTACTCTTCAAGTATCTTAATGACTTAAAAAAGAAGAAAAGAGTAAAGGTTTCTACGTACGAAGATGATATATGCTGCCAGGAATAACTATGGTACATTGCATAAAGATATATATTGATGATTATTGCCAATGACCTTGTGGTATAAGTGGTACGAAATGACTCTTCCAAATGGACAATATTAACCCTCTGTGTTTCAATAGATTGAGAAAATAGATACGAACAGATTGCTTCCAATGCATGCAATGACTAATCTTCTTGCTTTCAATGCATGCAAAATAGAATAACAAGTACGAGAATGTCTTGCAAATCACTTATCTTACATATCAACTGAAAATGTGTGGAAGAAGCATGCAAAATAGAATCACAAGTACGAGAATGTCTTGCAAATCACTTATCTTACATATGAACTGAAAATGCATAGAAGAATTAAAAGAATTAAATAAAGGAATTTCTGCATTCAAAAAAAAAAAATAATAAAGGAATTTCTTTTATTTTTAACTCTTTAGAAACTATCTCCATCACACTTCTTCCTGCATAGATTGTAGACAGATCAATGAAATAGGAGTTTGAACTGCATATAGGAAAAAAAAAAACAAAAAGTATACAAGCACATCACATATTCTTAAATATTGATAACTAATACACTATACATAAAAAGTGCAACAATATATATAATGCAGATTATATAGCTGATGTAGCTACTCATGATTACACTGTCAATATTCCAAGTGTTACACTTCCACTTTAGTATGCTAATAATTTTAGCAACCTCGCATAATTTCATCCCTACCTTCGTCAAGTCTAATCTTAATTAAATGTTAGATTTGCGCCTAGACAAGACCATGCTCTGATGATCTAAACTTAGCAACCAAAGTATTTTCCCTTAGCTCATTTTCTAAGGGAGAAATTAAAACACACCCCGTTGTTCTCTCTTTATTAGTTGAACGGATAAGATATCAAATTTTCTTAAATTAAAGTCCAATAAGAACCATGATGCAAATTATATCGTGGACCGAGCTTACCTTGCATTATAGGTTCTGTCCAAAATGACATCATTTTGTTTACAATAGCGAGCTTTTTTTTTCTTTACGGTCAATATTAATCTCGATCTATAGTAATAAGTACAAAATCTGTTAACTGTATGTACACAAATTTACATTTGTTAGTACATAATCTTTTTAAAATAAATGTATTATGTCAAATAATACTAATTAACCTTGTCTTGATAAGTTCATTAGTTTTGAATTGTAGGTAAATAAACTTTTTTTTTATTTATTTTTTAAGCAAAGTATAGATTTATTATGAATGAATAAATCTCGAAGCAGCAAAGCCCCGGAAATCAGATTTGATCCCTCAAGGAACAAATCAATCACTTTATTAATTTACATCTATCTTTAGAGTTATAAAGCGAGATTTACACTGTGCACATCATCGGATAATAGTTGTGGCTTTTCTTCCACATTCAAAAAAAAAAAAATGTTAAGAAAATGAGATTTGATTAATTGATGTGGTTGATAAACCAGAAAGCACACACAGTGATACCAGCACACTAGCTAGCTTAGTGGCAGAAGCCATATCAACACTTGAAGGGGTTTATAAAATTTTAATTCAATCAAGGACAAAACACATGTTAGGAGGAACCAATTCAATATCAAATGGCATGAGATAGAACATATACACTTTCAATGCCTTTTCTATTTGACTCTAATACTCTATAAAAGTATGACAACAAGAGAAAGTGACAAATTTATACATACTGTGATTATATTGAGGGCATGACTCGGTGTCCAGGATTTTGTCAAAATTCGAAGGATAATTGAGAGAACAACAAGGGTGTTGGTATGAAGTACGAGAGGAATAACTAAGCATCTCATAGCAATCTCTAAATGCCTGCTCAAAACCTTTTGCTTGTCCGCAGTCTTTCCATTTCTCGTACTCATTCATGACTCCAAACATTTTATCTCCCATATCACATGCAATTATTCTGTTTCCTTTGCTTAACAAAGCCCATAATCCGACGGTTGAACCTTCAGCTTCATAAGCTAATAATTTTTTGAGTCCTTGCATAATTTCATCATTCTTTTCCCCAAACCCCATCGAAATTAAATATTGAATCCTAGACGAGGCCATGTGTTGGTCCCGGTAGGGTTATAACGAGAGTCTAGAGGGGGGGGGGGTGAATAAACTCTTTTCAGATTTTGCCAAATAACAACCTTTCGGTGTTACAGCGCAGCGGAAATATTAGGTTCGTTTTAATTACTTTGCACAGTTTGATGTTTTAATGAGACTTTCGGTTTGGGGGCGAATGATGATATGATGCAGATAGTAAAGCGCGAAAATAAAGAGATAAGGAGACGAGAGTTTTTATAGTGGTTCGGCCAACTTTGCCTACTTCCACTCTTCTTCCACAACTTATGGAAGGTTTGCACTATCACTCGTTAGTACAAATACACGAAAGCTTCCTTGATCACTAAGCTGGACAGCTTCCTGTAGGTTTTTCAACTCCACGAGTTTACTCCGCCTCTATCAACATTTTCTTCAGAGTTGAGGTTGGTAGAAAATGATTTATGATTTCTCCAACGTGGTGAAGTCTTGACTGAATGAAGGATGATTGCTTCGTATAAGATGCAAGACTTCTTCAAGGTGGAAGATGAGAAATAATGAGCTTCTTCAAATATCTTCACGCCTTGACACTGGTTCGCAAAAGCTTGATGAGAACTGAGATTGTTTAAGAGCTTTTGCTTGATAGTATTATCGAGTGAAAAGAACCAGCACCTTCTTAGTTGATGAAGGTGGGTTTATATAGGTGAGGAAAATTTCATCCGTTGGAGGGAGATGAAATTTTAAACATATTATCCAGTGGGTAAGGACCGGGGAGCTTGCTGCATTAAATGCTCCATTAATGTGGTTTGTACCATGTAGCCGCGCGTTGAGAGCATGGATAGCCTTAGGGTTTTGTCCTTTAGCTTCAGAAGAATGGTACAACTTCATTTAATGCTCCTTGGTATGCGTGTCCCACATGTTGAGGTCCTTTTGTTCCTAGGATTGTTAGTCAACTCAGACAGTAGTGACATTCTTCTTGTTATTGAAGAGAATGAATGTCTTGATGAATCGTCATAATGATAACTGTCTCTACGAGGTGGTTGATAACCTTTGGTGATCTTTCGTTGTTGATGCTCCTGACTTCGTGCTTTGAGTCTCTTTTTCGTCTTGATAGCCCTAATAAATAAACATAACTCGTTTTCGTGTGTTTGTCTAGCTTAACACGAATTACAACGTGAGTTATGGCAACTTTCGTATAGAACGAAAGCAGCGATTAAAAATAACGAAGGTTAGGGGTCTACATTCTAGGTTACATTGGTATCATCAAAATCCTAATACAAGTGTTCCAAACACCATGCTCTGAAGTTGTCTCCAAAACTTCTTAATCTCTGAAGAAGAAAATACAAGACCACACACCCTTTTCCATTTCTACCTTTACCTTTTCACTTCTTCCAATGTTGGTGATTTTCATATTCATTCGAGTTTTGGAACAAACTTCCTGTATCTTTAGTGTAAATTCTTGTACTTGTTTATTGTCATTGCCTCCACATAAGAAAATGTACTCTTCATTATTAATCTGTTCAAAGAAAAATAGGGGAATAACAATGTTTTATTACTATTTAATACAAAGTTCATTTAAACGATAAAAAGATCAAATCCAGTGTAATATAATAACCTTCACTAGTGCAAGACCACAAGATAATTTAACCCTATAACCATGGCTGAAAAAACGGTAGGCACTCCTCTCGGGCGCCTAGACGATAATTAATCAGCGCCTAGACGGTCATACATTTTTTATATTTTATATATTTTTTTAAATTTATTTAAAATTTTTATATTTTTAAAAGACTAATATATAATTGCCAACTATCATGTAGTGTGATGGCATCCCGGTTACCCATCCAAATGGATGGTTATAGGTCCCGGTGATGGGGGCTTAGATTCTTTGTGTTAAAAATGTTTGAGAAAGTATAGAACAGATACTACCTTGTAAAGAATCATGAGTATTTAAAAAAAAAAGACTAATAATACTTTAATTGTTAATATTAAATATTAGCCTAAACGATGTTGTTTTAAGTGAAGTAATCCATTATTAAAAAAAGAAGAACAATAGTTAATCAACTGACTAGGTGGCCTAATCGGTGCTTAGAAGGCCTAATCGGTGCTTAGGTGGCCTAGGCAGTCAGCGCCTAAGCGGTCTAGACGGCCTGATCAACCGCCTAGACCACCAATTATGGTGATATGCTAGGTGGTCTAGACGACTTGATCGACCGCCTAGACCACCAATTATGGTGATATGCTAGACGGTCTAGACGGCCTTATCGACCGCCTAGACCACCAATTATAGTGATATGCTGGGCGGCCGACCAGTGCTTAGAGCCTAGCTTAGGCTCCGATTAATTGGCGCCTAAGCATTATTTTTGCAACACTTTGTATGTATAACATAGCTTGTAATTGCAACTAATGAATTAGAAGTTGAAGATTGCCTTACCCACTTGTTAAGTTTGTGCAAGATGTCAGATGCCACAAGTTTAAGGCTCCATGATTCTCTCCCACTTGTGTAATTGTAGGAACGGAACTGATGAATGAAAGTATTCTATTAATATAAAATGGTACATTAATTCTAGAAGTAAAAAATTTATGTGATTTAATTTTTTTTTTAAATAAATAATGGTAAGCATTTATAATAAGCTACTAAGAATTTAATTATAAGAACATACGAGAATGTCTTGCAAATCACTTATCTTACATATGAACTGAAAATGCGTAGTAGAAGCATGCAAAATAGAATAACAAGTACGAGAATCTCTT